TATATATATACACATATACATCGAGAGCGAGTAGTCTAGGCACTATCACTATCACTATCACTATCACTATCATCTCATGTCATATCATATCATATCCTGCATACATACATATGTATATACACACGTGCATACGCACACACTCTCACACCATAGGTATGGTCTTCATATAGTCGTACGTTGCTCACACGATCAGACAGGCGTGGCAGATTCTACAGGGTTGCCCTTGCCGCTCTTGTCCAGGCAAGCTTGGCCGTGGCTGGAGGTCCGGTTTCCTGGTGTGGATGGGCCCTCGGAAGACGTCGACTAAAGGAAGGCGCCGCGATGCCAGCGAAGGGCACGTCCTGCGCAAGGGTCCGGAGAAGCAGGCGAGGCAAACCCCTTCGCCACGGTTCCGTCCTCCTTCACTTCGGAGCTCCCTGCCCTCCGCGAGTCCGTGCTCCGCACATCTCCGCACGGTTGGCCCGGGCGGAGGTCTAGAAGGGCTCAGCCTAGACGCTGAGTGGGAGTGCGCATGAGATGCCACGTGGAAAAGCTGGCCGCATAATGTGTCTCACAGCCTGAAGCATCTGAAACTGTTGCATGAAGAATCTGTGCACATTTTGAATCCCATTCAGGTCTCTGAACTGAAGCAAGAGGCTGAGGCCCGCCAGCCACCCGGACCTGCCATGCGCCTGAGAATGTTTTTTGGTTGCCAGGAGCTGGTGCGGTGGCTGGACCCTTCCTATGCCCACCCGGCCTCCACGCCCATGGCGATTCAGTGGGCCGAGCACTAAGGATTCCGACATAGTGCGAGGCTTCAGCAGATTCCTCGCTGCCATTGAGGCTCAAAACTCGTCTGCAGGGCACCGAGCACCATGCAAGGGCACGTCCGGTGACGCGAGCCTTTGATCTTAGGCTGTGATGATAGCAGCTCGCTTCTCACACAAGTGGGAGGCCTGAACTGTGGCCCCGTAGCTACGCTCAGTTTACTGAGCACCAACTGCAAGATTGGCTGCAGGCACCCGGAGCAAACCTAGCAGTGTACTCCACAGAGAAGGGCCAAGGTCACGTCAACAAGGACGGGACCTTATTTGGGAGTTTCCGAAAATAGGGGTACCTTACTTTGGGGGTCCTTATAATAAGGATCCTATTATTTGGGGTACTATATTAGGGCCCCCTATGTTCGGAAACCCCAATTTTGAGTGGCTGATCCCAAGTTAAGAGTGGTCGAGGTCTCTGTCTTGTCATCTCTCCATTAGAGCCTACTTTACATGCGTCCATGCGCAAAGCTGCTCTGTCAGGACCGCACAGCCGAGTCAGTTCGGCGTCTACTTCGTGTAAACATTTCCTCATCTCGAGTTGAGGCTGAGATCATTGCGAAGGCCAGCAGAGGGGGTTCAGAGTTAGAAGTGCCTGGATGAACAAATGCAAACATGTGTGCGCAGCTATCTGGTATGTAGACAACGCACTCTCATACGCGCAGATTGATTGACAAAACTAGGGTGCTGGAGACTGGGAAACAACAGCAGTGAAGATGGAAGCACATTCAATTCTCTGGATGTTCAAGTTGGACCCAACCATTCAGGGTGTGTGTGGTCAAGTGCGACAGCAATCAGCGGTTTGTTTCCTACCTATGAGCCGTCAGCGAGCAAATTGCGGCTGGAGGTGCAGAACAGCAGAAAGCGATTTACGCTGGACCTGAACCTTTTCGATGAGACCATCCCTCATGCGTCAGGAGCCGCCACATGTAGCGCATCCCGCCTGTTCTGTGTGGTAGGGGGCGGCGACGATCGCGCGGGTGCTAATAAGCCCGATGATACTGTAGTGATAAGGAGGATGTGCATGACGGACAGGATCGGGACCAGAATGAAAAGAGTTGATTGTCTGCTGCTGCTGCGGATGCTGATGGTGATTGGTGATGACAGGTATGATAGAAGGTGATGCTGTCGTTGATGAAGACGTTTGTTGATGGTGGACTTGCCTGGTTGAAGTTGATTGGTGGTTGCCCTGCTGTTGATGATGACGGTGATGATTCGGATGATGATAAGTATGCTGCTTGTGGTGGTGATGATAGTGATGTTGCTGATGGCAAGACTGATGGTGGTGAGGATTATGGTAATTATGATGGTGAAGAAGAAGAAGCTGAAGATGATGATGGTGGTCACAGTTGGCATAGCAATGGTGACGATTATGGGAACAACGATGGTGCTTGGAAGAAGATACAGATGAAACGATGAGAACAACGATGATGCACGGAAGAAGATGCAGTTGCAGACGATGACCAGCAGCTACGAGATAGTGAGGAGGACCAAAGTGATGAGGTGGTCACCATGATGGAGGGAGCAAGCGGATGTTGAGGAGGAGGAGCAGGAGGAGGAGGAGGAGGAGACAGAGGGAAAGGCATCAGCATAAGGAGATCATGTTCATGAGGCCAGTCGAAGTAAAAAGTGGTTGACGGCACAGGTTGGGTTGGCTGAAAGTGCTTCGGTGTGTCGATGCACTGTTTGTTTGCAGGCTGGACTGTCGAGTTTCGCAAAGCGTGACTTGCCGGAGCAACCAGGAGAAGCTCGCTAGGGCCAGCCCATCATATCAGGAATCTTGCATTCGCTCTCGACGCATTCTGAGGCGAGGCAGCATGCAGATGAGCCGCGGCGCGGAGATTCCGGAACTTCACATTCACGAACTTCGACAGCATTCCGTTGTGTGAGCTGTGGGGTTCTAGAAACCTACCTTATTTAGGGGTATGTAGGGGTCCCTGAATTATGGGTCATTAGGGTCCAATACTTTCTGAAGCTTCCATGTTCAGTTCAAGTACCCTGAGATTCCGACAGGGACAGCAACAGGCCGTCTTGGGCCCATGATCCTGTCAAAGGATAACTCGAAATCCAAGATATCTGGTTTTTGCGATCAGTGGCAACAAGATCTGACTCGCCTTCAAAAAACAAGCCCGAGATACCATATGCACCTTCAGGGTTTGGGGTTTAGGACTTTAGCCCCTAAACCTAAATCCCAAACCCTAAACCCTAAACCCTAAATCCTACACCCTAAATTCTAAACCCTCATTCAAAACTTGGCGCCCCAAGAACCAAATCCTCTCGACGATCCCAGATGCGGAAGCGCTGGCCCTCGCCAGACTACGCCTGGCTGCTTCACTTGCACTAAGTGGGACAGAGGGACATATTATGATAAGATATATATATATATATATATATATGTATACATATGTGTATATATATATATATAAGAATAAACAAACAGTAGTGATGATAATAGTATAGACATACGAGTTTAGCTATTTAAATAACTAACCATACTGAATTCTAGATAAAAAATATGTATATGTGTACATTCTATAGATATATGGGACTTGCTAGGGTTGCTAGGGTTTAGAAACTCCAGAGAATCCTGGGAACTAAGAAGTAAGCCCTCTCGCCCCGCAGCAGGAGATCACCCTAGTCCTGTAACCCCCCAAGGCCCACTGAAGTCATACTTAGGGTTTTAGGGTTTTAGGGTTTAGGGTGTAGGGTTTTAGGTTTTAGGGTTTAGGGTTTAGGGTTTAGGGGTTTAGTATAATGATACCAACTCTAATACTGATACTCATACTAATCCCAATACACGTATTATATTGCTAATACTGAGCATCATAATAACCATAATCGTAATGACATGGCAACCTTCACCCGCCAACGCAAAACCCTGAGTCCTTTTACATAGCCTAAACCCAAAAGCCTATGTCCTAAAAACCACAAAGCACCAAAAGCCCCAGCACCCTCCAGGCCGCTACTGAAGCCTCATAGATCCATGGAAGCCATAGTAGTTCCTTTTTGTGGCGTATATTTAGGTTCCTATTAGGTAATCCCCAAAAGGAACTACTATGGGGCCTATGGGTAGATCCATGGAACCCTTGTATAGTCAATCCCAGAAAGATGGAACATGGATTTGGGATGATTCGTGCTGGGATCCCCTATACTTTACCTTACGGGCATGAGGGTCATGATGCTCCAACTTCATGGCTTCTACCGTAAGACCCTTAACCCTAAACCCCAAACCCCATGAAAAAAAAAACTAAACCCCATAAGACTGAACCCCTGTAAGGCCTCTCAAAGCCTCACGCCTTGAATTCTCTCTGCTTAGGCCGCGCCTTGCCGACGAAGCTGGAGCCGAGGCGACCTTGGATTTTCGGGAGTTTAGGGTTTTGGGTTTAGGGTTTAGGGTTCACGGTTTAGGGTTCAGGGTTTAAGGTTTAGGGTTCGTGAGGGAATGGACTGTAGTTAGGGTTTTCGGGTCTGGTGTTTAGCATGAGGGAGGAGGGGTTCCGTTTGGAATGTTGGACAAAAGGCTGGCGCTCGAGATTGACGACAGTCTGGGAAACAAACAATTCATGCCCTGCAACGTAGCACATAGCCATATAGACGTTGCAAAGCAAACATGCGTCGAGGCTCCAATATCCGGCTTTCAGCGTGGGGATCCGGTCTGCCCGGAATCAGGTTCTTAGTCGCGTCGGCTAGGAATCGGGTGGGGCCTTTGTCACCGATGCTGGCGTTCCCGATCGTTCATTGTGGCGACAGGATGCAATAGGCTAGTTCAGAGGAGCCGCCATGCGACGGCTAGAAATCAAGAGCAAGAGTCTGCGGTCTTGTAGCTGCGGACCCTCACCGTGCAGCTGGGGGGCGTTGTTGCGTGGAACACCTTTGCCCCCCAGATGGCGATGCTCGAGAAGGAGATGCAGTTTTGGCCTCAGCCGCGCTGACGGAAGCCAAAACGACTATGCTATATAATCTACTACATTATGAGCTATAGAATACACCTTAGGATATACAATATACCAGAGGGCCACATCCACTCCTCACCCTCCGCTGTCACGGGGTAGCCCCATCAAGGTTCAGCGGCCCAATGCTCAGCGAGAGCACGTTGACTTGCCTGCGCGGTAGCAGCCTGAACCTCAGGGTGAGACCAGGGTTTAGCGGTTTAGGTTTTAGGGTTTAGGGTCTAGGGTCTAGGGTCTAGGGGTCTAGGGGTCTGGGGTTTAGGGGTTTAGGGCTTAGGGTCTAGGGTCTAGGGTCTAGGGTCTAGGGTCTAGGGTCTAGGGTCTAGGGTCTAGGGGTCTAGGGTTTAGGTGTTCAGGGTTGAGGATCAACCGAGGGATCTTTGAGTTTGGGGATCATCTTGTGAGCCTGCCCGCTCCGAAGTGTAGCCCAGTCGACTCCAGAAAGGTATACGAGGTCAGCAAAGCAGGGCACCCTATGTCGGCTCAACATATACTGGTTCTTAAGATGCTAGAACTTATTACAATGAATCTCGTCAGTCTTTCCGAAAGCTGAAGGTTTGTCTGCGTTGTCTTGCGTGCAGAGTGCCCGACCCGGCAACCAAAGTTCCTCATCGCCGGAAAAACACCGAGGCCTCTAAACCCTAAACCCCTAAACCCCAAACCCCCAAACCCATCAACCCGAGACCCTATAAACCCCCCAAATCCATAAATGGACCCTAAAAAGGCCTCTACTGCCCAGCAAGCGATTCCTGCACATCTTCCTGCAGCGGCTGCCAGGCTCGACTGTATGCCTGGTGTCAGGTTATATGCCATGAAAGATTTTACAGCAACATATTTGTGATGTTTTGTTATGTTATCTCATATTCTATTATACTACATTACACTGTTATCTGCTGTGTTCGATTATGTTACGTTATATGTTATATACCGCTGAACCCAGACGGGATTCCTGCAAAAGGAACGGATACTGATCCCGGTGTGAGTCCATAGCTCATCGTGGCGCAGGGCCTAGGCCAAGCGCGAGGGAGCCGCTGTGGGGCGTCACTGGCTGCACAGCTGGAGGCCAGCTGCAACTGGCCCAAGACCTTTGATATAGCGAGGGTTTAGGGTTTAGGGACATAATACCGTATGATAGACTTGTACAATGAACAGCGTAGACTATGATACAATGAACTTGTACCACATAGCTCAGTATAACCTAGTCTGGCAAAATGTAACATGACATCAGATTCTACCCGTATAATACGTCGGATGAGGAAATCTGGGGTCAAATACGGTAAGACAAGATAATGCCAGACAATATAGGATAGTGAAGACCACATTATAAGATATCATGATACATTTTAAGGTAGCACTAGAGAATATTGTAGATCTAGTTTAATATGTCAGTCTTAACCAGCGGCCCTTCCATGCCTTGCGGGACTGCCGGCATCACACTATTGAGTTCTGTAACTACGTAGACAGGTAAGCGTGCAGTGCTGTTGAGGCGGCTTCCACAGGAGACTCGTTGGGGGGAGTTTTCCTTGACGAGGACGAAGCCCAGATCGGAAGACTTTCATCTTGATCTCTGCGAGCAGATGAAGGGCGTTCTGGGTTCACCTAAACCCTAAACTCTAAACCCCAAACCCCTGAACCCTGGTGCCCTCCTGCGACGTGCAGGACCTGCAGCCTGACAAGCTTGGTGGCCTCTTCCGGTGGGTGCATCGGCCAGAGCTGCTTGCGGCAGAGGCAGCGACGGAGCAAACTCTTCAAAGATCGGGCTATAGTGCTTCGCACTGCTCTTCTGCCCTGCCATCTGATCACAGCCCAGGATGATTATGCAGCACAGGCAGCTGCGGTAGTCTGGCAGCTGCACAGCCAACCCACAAACTTGCCTCCTGGCCTTGCGTGCTGTCACCGGCAGGCTTTTGCGCTCTGCTGGGCGAGGCCGCTCGAGGCTTCGGAGGACGGGCATGACTACTTGGAGGTTCATGAAGTAGAAGGGTTATAAGTAGGGTAACTTTAATATAAAGCCATATTAGGGGACTTATAACCCCACTTATAAGTTATAAGTAGGGTAACTATAATTATAAGCCATATTAGGGGACTTCTAACCCTACTT